CAGGAGGAAAACAACAGATCTTGTTGATCAATAGATGGAATCAAATACAGCTGAATGACAGCCTCTGGGACACATCGAGGTGACATTTTTCTTATAATTCTAACTAGTTGCCTTTCCTCTACAGACTCCATTAGTCAAAATCTCTGACCTGGATAAAATCTCCATGATGCTCAGAATTAGGGAAGGAAGATTGAAAGACCAGTGTTATAGACTCTGTTCCATAAACTTCAGTCTGGAGACTACCTACTTTAGATTCATAGAGACATGCTGATTACATATTTGGATTCCTGGACCTTCCCTAAGACTAACTAAATTCTCTGAAGTAGGTACCAGAAACAAATTCCTCACAAATTCAAATCCTAACCTAAAGGATTTTAAAAATAATTCAGTTTTCTTAATAGTTCTTTATTATTTCTCATTAGGAAGAATTCTATTAGATGGTTCAAAAGTCATTGATTTTTAAAATTATGAATGCAACATGGGCCCTTGTGTTATAGGGGTTCTTCCCGAATAGAAATCTGTCTTTGAATCCCTATCCCATTGTACAGTGATCTGTTTCCATGTGTTAAAGAATGAAGAATAATTCCATAGGATAGAAACTATGGATTTCAAATCCCATGTGTAAAATGAATAAATGTTTTGATATGTTGGAATTTAGAAACTTTTTAAACAAATATCATAGGGTGATCTTGTGATTGATCTACTGTTGATTCAGAGAGGATTTTGGTCAGGGTATGTTATTGCCTTTCCAAACTCAGCATTTAGGAGTTGGCAGTTTAGCTTTGAGGAACATTATATGATAGGAGAATCCTGAAAGGATTAGAAGAAGATAAAGTAAACCAAACTTCTTATTTAAGGCATGTTTTAGCTCTTAGGACTAAATTTAGCATGTCCATGTATTCTACTTCTTTGATTATTTAACAAAAATAGCAAAATTATTAAGAAAAAAAGTAAATCAAAATAGACAAAGTAAAAAGAAAATGAGTTAAAATAAAACTTTATTGACATAAAAAGCTATGAATTTCATAATGCTAAGAGAAAGATAATACAGTGTGAAAGAATCTACAATGAAGACTAAAATAGAGCAAGAAAATTAAAAAAAAAAACTTGTAAAAACCAATAAAGGGATAGGAATTTAATGAATAAAATAACAAAATAAAAATATAGAGAAACAGTAATCACTTATAAGGATAACAGTGAAAAGAAAAATCTGAACAGTGTATATGGGAAAATCCAAAGTGTAACACCCATTAAAAGAATTGAAAATAGCCTAGAAACAACTATTTGCAAATCTCCAGCATAGCTTCTGTTTTATTAGCCTCCCGTGGTTCACGGCTCCCCAGAAATATTCCCCTGAGTACCGGACTTGAATGGCAGAGAAAGAATCTTAAAAGACTAAGCAGGTTGATATTGTGTCGCCCACCCTCTAAAAACACCAACGTAAGTAGTTTTCATCTGCTCTGTCCCCGGGACTCTTATGTTCATGCCAAAAATAATCTCTTCTTTTTACTTTATTCAAGTACATTAAGACTGGGGCTTCCCTGATAGTTCAGTGGCAAATAATCCACCTGCCTATGCAGGAGACACGGGTTCAACCCCTGATCCAGGAAGATCCCACATACTGTGGAAGAACTAAGCAGCTATTGAGCCTGTGCTCTAGAGCCCGGGAGCTACGACTACTGAGCCCACATGCCCTAGAGCCCGCGCTCTGCAACAAGAGAAACCACTCTAATGAGAAACCTGCAATTAGAGAGTAGCACCTGCTTACCGCAGCTATAGGAAGGCCTGCACATCCGTGAAGACCCAGCACAGCCATAAACAAGTAAAATACATTAAGATCAAACTGCAGAACAAATCTACAAGGTACATATTATTAGTTCCTGCGTATATATATTAGGAAGCAAAGATACAAAGTTAACTAGAATGTCTCCAATCACACACCTAGAAAACACTAGCAATCACTTTTGATTTTAGATCTCCATGCCCCCAAACCCATGCCCTTTTCCTCAATGATACATATTTCTACATGCTTTCTAGGCTTATAAATTAAGTCAACCTCTGCTACCAAGCATTTACAATTTCGTTCTCCACAGATTATTTCTTAAATCTCTTTTTCTTAGCTACACAAGTCATGTGGTCTAATAGCATTCAGAATAACGAATATAGGAATATGAATTAAATGGGATTATATTAAAAATTCAACTTATGTTAGGGTATTTTCAAATTTTCCTACTAGACAAAAACTAACTTGCCTTATATGGTGAATTTAAATGTCATGCTTTATTCACACTGGGTTTTAGAACATGTAGATAACATGTTTGTTTTATTATAGATAACTGTTTTATTGAGAATGTGTGAGTATAGACAGATACTTGTTAAACAATAAAGAAATCTCTGTAGTCCATTTTATACTAAGCCCTACACACGTGTGGGAGTTGTTTTATGTTTTACAATATTACATTGTTGGTTTATGAAAACATACTGCTTAAATACCACAATTATTAAAACTTTGTGTTGCTGTTAGTTGCTAAGTTGTTTCTGACTCTTTGCGACCCCATGAGCTATAGCCCACCAGGTCCCTCTCTCCACGGAATTTCTCAGGCACAAATACTGGAGTAGGTTGCCATTTCCTCCTCCAGGGGATCTTCCTGTCCCAAGGACCAAATCCACGTCTCCTGTTTGGCAGGCAGATTATTACTAAGCCATTAGGGTACTTTGCTGCTGCTGTTGCTAAGTCGCTTCAGTCGTGTCTGACTCTGTGCGACCCCATAGACGGCAGCCCGCCAGACTCCCATCCCCGGGATTCTCCAGGCAAGAACACTGGAGCTAGGGTACGCTAGGTAATTTTAAATTAATTTGTCTACTTTAGATGGACTTCATTTACACCAGGCAAATGGAATCATTGCCACATCTTCATATAAACTCTCAGGCATTATTTCAGTTTGTTCACTGGTGCCCAACACCTCAAGTGTTTTGTTTGTTTTGTTATGTTTTTGCTTCTATGAAAGATTCATATTGCTCTGTTTCTTTCTGCACCTGCATTTATTGTATATTTTAAGGACACTAGTAAACTACATGGCAGGTTAATTAATCAAGCTTTGTATAGTAAAATATAAGGTTGAAGTTTTGGATATTTACTAGTTACAAAAATATGTTAATGATACATAATTATATCTCACCTTATGGCACAATTGAGGTACCTAAATGAGGAAATATCACCCTCCGTTCTCCAGAAGGGCCATTTCTTCTTAAAAGGAAGTTTGATGCACAGGTTTTCTTCCAAAAAGATTTCAGCAGAAAATATAGTATACGGAGATGGGCAAAATACAGCTTTTTGTTCTCTCTATATACATCATTAATGTCAGCTGTTTAAAAATGGATGTCTCTGAGCCAGTTTGCTGCAAGTTTTATGGCTGGAAAAGTGTTTAGTGTGGATGTAAGTCAGAATATGATTTGTTCTTGACACCAAATGCTGGCTGTGACGTTTTGTGGGAAGAGAATAATGAAGGGAAGCTGCTGCATAGATTCTGTTCATTAGACTTTTCATTTTAATCAGGTCACAGTTCCGGATGTTCTGACAAGGCAGTGCCACTCCTGTACTGATCCAAGGATTATCATGTTTGACGGACAGTGAACATTCCACCTCAACATCATCTGGGCTGATCACTTCAGTTTACAGTTTGCTCATGCCGCAGTTGTTTTTATATTAGACTATGAGAGGGGTGGAAGAGTTCACTGAGTAATTTGCTTTTGGAGATTAATTCAATACAAGGAGAACACTCAAATGTTCTTGTCACTTGTCAACTTGTCTATTAACAAGAGGGGAGAAACTGATCTACTTGAAAGTAAATACATCAATTTATTACATTTGAATATGATTATTTAAATAGCTTCTAAAAGACCAGGAAATTTCTAATTTGAAAACCAGTGTAATACGATGAAAAGGGAAGAGTTCAGATCTACTGCAAAACCTGGTGGGGATTAAAGATAGCAATACCTCACAGCCAGAAACTTGCATACAGCTAAGAAGTAATTATTTTTAATACATTGTAGTCAAATCTGAACATCGACTAGACGCCTTAAGACTTACCTGCTTTATGAGGGAGGTCAATCCTCATTACCTGGAAGCACTGATCATTCCCCTCTGATTTAGTCTTCCTAAATTGAAAAATCCAACTATCTTATGGCTTGAGATTCATTTTCTCCCCTCAGTAATAAGATTTGCACTGTCATATTTCACTGGCTCTGTCTTATTGGCTTACCAAAATGTACTTATTATATATTTATGCCTGCACTTCTGCTATTTTTCTCTATTTCTGCTATTATTTTCTGCTAAAGTATTTAATGTTGTCACAAACTTAATCTCTACTTTCTTACACCCTCTCCTAGTGAGCTTGATTCATAAAGGTGCAGGCCACAAAAATTATATCAAATTAATAGTAGATATAAACATCAGAGCAAAAACTACAGAATGCTTAGAAGAAAATATAGGAGTAAATCTTTGTTACTTTGTGTTAGGTGATTGTCTCTCAGATATTTTACCAAAAGCACAAATGACAAAAACAACATAGATTACATTTTATCAAAATGGAAAACTTTCGAAGTACAATTAATACCATTAAAAAGTCAAAAGGGAGATGGAAAAGATAGCAGAAGAGTAAGACAGGAATATTGCCAGGCTCTCACCAAATACATCAAAAACTCATCAAGATATGGAACAACTCCTACAAAGCCACCTCTAGGCGACAGCAGAAGACCCCAGACCTCCAACGGGACAGGCTAAGTTCCCAGAAATGAGGTAGGAGAGAGAAGGGAGACATTAAAAGGGAAAACAGGGAGAACTTCTGGGCAGGAGCTTGTGCGGGAAGGGAGGGAGGGAGCCCTGAACCAGGAGTTCCCATGCACTGGGAAGCTCCCTCACAGGCGGGGCCCAAAGAGGAGCTTCAAAGTCTCAGAAAACCAGGCAAAGAAGGGACTTGGAGGGCAGTAAACAGAGGAAGCTGCATTTCTCAGCCCATGAACAGCTGATGGACTGTGGCCCCCAAACAGACAGCGGGCTCGGGCAGGGAACCGAGAGTGGAGAGCGGCGTGGCATACAAACCCAGCCAGCACACAGCACCCTCGCAGCACAAAGGACAGGCCCAGGTGATGAGTCTGACGGGCTGACAAACCCAGCCAGCGTACAACGCTTGCAGCGCAGAGGGCGGGCCCAGGAGGCCCAGTGTGGCTGCAGCGAACACAGCCGGCGCAACGAGCAGGACTGGGGTGCCGATGGGGGAGGCATTCAGACTTGGGCAGCGCACACAAGCCTCATGGCACAGCTGAAAGAACAAATAACCCCCTGCGACGAAGAGTGCAGGCAGCGAGAAGAAAAACGCACAGCAACCCTGCGGCGCAGAGGGCAGCCTCGAGAGCCGAGCCAAAACGAGTCCACACCAGATCTGCGACGCAGAAGCCAGCCTCAGAGAGCCGGCAAGTGCGAACATGCCCGCGACAGAGGGCGGACCTCGGGACGCAGTCAAGGGCACACAAGCCCCGTGACACGGAGGATGGGCTCAGCGGGCTGAGGATGGGCTCAGGGGGCTGACGATGGACTCGGGGGCTGAGGATGGACTCGGGGGGGCTGAGGATGGACTCGGGGGCTGAGGATGGACTCGGGGGGCTGAGGATGGGCTTAGCGAGCTGAGGATGGACTCGGGGGACTGAGGATGGGCTCAGGGGGCTGAGGATGGGCTCAGGGGGCTGAGATTGGACTCGGGGGCTGAGGATGGACTCGGGGGGCTGAGGATGGGCTCAGCGGGCTGAGGGTGGGCTCAGCGGGCTGAGGTTGGACTCGGGGGCTGAGGATGGACTCGGGACTCGGGGGCTGAGGATGGGCTCAGCGGGCTGAGGATGGACTCAGGGGGCTGAGGATGGGCTCAGGGGGCTGAGGATGGGCTCAGCGGGCTGAGGTTGGGCTCGGGGGCTGAGGTTGGACTCAGGGGGCTGAGGATGGGCTTAGCGGGCTGAGGATGGGCTTAGCGGGCTGAGGATGGGCTCAGGGGGCTGAGGATGGGCTCAGGGGGCTGAGGATGGACTCAGGGGGCTGACGATAGACTCGGGGGCTGAGGATGGACTCAGAGGGCTGAGGGTGGGCTCAGGGGGCTGAGGTTGGACTCGGGGGCTGAGGATGGGCTTAGCGGGCTGAGGATGGGCTTAGCGGGCTGAGGATGGGCTCAGGGCTCTGAGGGTGGGCTCAGGGGGCTGAGGATGGGCTCAGGGGGCTGAGGATGGACTCAGGGGGCTGACGATGGACTCGGGGGCTGAGGATGGACTCAGGGGGCTGAGGGTGGGCTCAGGGGGCTGAGGATGGGCTTAGCGGGCTGAGGGAAGCACACAGAAGTCGAGGCCACGGCCGAAGGATCCACACAGGCACCTACCTAGCAAGTTTCAGCCAGCAGCGCAGAGCAAGACGGGGAACAGAAGCATAGGCAATGATCCCAGGGACAAGGGGGGCCTGGAGGCACTGCAGTTATACTGAGAGGGTCACTTTGAAGCAGCTGTGGAAATCGAGGCGTCTAACACTGCGAAAGCTAGAACTACCGCCCAAAGGCATACTGAACCCGTAGACACTCCAAAACCTACTGCTGGACACTCTACTGCCTTTCAAAGAGACAAGGTCCAACTCCATCAACCAGAAACATCATCGGACACTAACCCAGCCCGGTCCACAGGAGCATACTCCACAACCAAGGATTACGACCTTGAGAACCTTTTTAAAATTTTTTCCTTTTTCTTCTTCCTTCTCTTGTAAATCATGCTGTTCATTACCCATATCTCCACCTTCATACTAGCCTTTAGCGGTGCTGTGGAGTTTTCATTTTTGTTTTTCTTGTTATAAAATTTTTTTTAAATCATTTTAAGATTCTTTCTTCTTATAAATCACACTGCTTATTCCACAACATATTTCTACCATCACATTAGATTTTTGTGCGGTGCTGTGAAGTTTTCCTCTTTGTGTTTCCTCTCAAAAAAAAAAAAAAAAGAAAGAAAGAAAAGAAAAGAAAAATTAATTTTAAGTTTTTCTTTCTTTTTTAAATTTTTCTTGCTTTTTTCTTTATTTTTTTCTTGATGAGTTCTTTTTGGATTTTGTTTTTTGTATATTCGACTGCTTTTCCTACTGGTTTTTACTGGCTGTAGCTACTCCTGAATAAATATAAATCTTTCCCACATATGTCTATTCATCTTTGCTTTTCTATTTTTCCTTTTCTCTCTATTTTTTTATTTTTTAATCCTTTACCCCCTCCTTTTCTCTTTTCCCTCTCTCTCTCTTTATTCTTCCTTTTTTCTTCACTCTTTCTTCTTTCACCGAGTAACTTACATTGTTGAGCTCTCTATGCTATATTCCCCAATTGCCCCTCTGCTCAAGCTCAGATTTCCAGATTGAGCATTAGCCAACTCTGCTTTCAACTTGTTGCTATCACCTCTGGTTTCCCTTGCTCACCAGGTCAATCTCCTGTACTCTTTTCTTTAGAACACTTTGGTTATAACTGTATGTGTGGAAGTCTGTGTGTATATGTGCCAGTATTTCTGTAATTACCTACTTGATCTCCTCCCACTAGAACAGACACAAGTCATCCTCAACAAGAAATCAATACAAACCACCCAAGGGCAAAAATCAAAAGGAAGAAGTAATACAACCCTAAAGCCTGGGAAAAGGAGACCTCAAGTGGAGCGAGTTAGGGGAAAAAAAAAAGAAAAGACAGAGAAATACAGCCCAAAGGAAAGAGCAAGGCAGAAACTCACAAGACGAAATAAACGAGGAAATAAATAATCTCCCTGAAAGAGAATTCAGGGTAATAATAGTAAAGATGCTTCAAAAACTTGAAAATAGAATGGAGAAAATGCAAGAAGCATTTAACACAGTTAATGCAATCACCAAGGACATAGAGGAAATAAAGAATATTCAGACAGAGATGAATAACACAATTATTGAAATTGAAAATACTCTAGAAGGAACCAATAGCAGCATAACTGAGGTAGAGGACTGGATAAGTGACCTGGAGGATAGAATGGTGGAAATAACTGCTGAAGAGCAGAATAAAGGGAAAGGAATGAAAAGAATTGATGATAGCCTCAGAGACCTTTGGTACAATATTAAACACACTGACATTCGCGTTATAGGGGTCCCAGAAGAAGAAGAAGAAAAAAAAGGCGCTGAGAAAATTTTTGAAGAAACTACAGTTGAAAACTTCCCCAACATGGGAAAGGAAATAGTCAATCAAGAAGTGCTGAGAATCCCCTACAGGTTAAACCCAAGGAGAAACATATCAAGACACAAAGCTAAGCACAAAGAATATTAAAAGCAGCAAGGGAAAAGCAAAAAATAACATACAAAGGAAAACCTATACACTTAACAGTGGGTCTTCCAGAAGAAACTCTACAGGCCAGAAGGAAATGGCAGGATATACTTAAAGTGCTGAAAGATAAAAACCTACAACCACAATTACTATACCTGGCAAATATCTCATTCAAAATTGATGGAGAAATCAAAAGCTTTAAGGACAAGCAGAAGTTAAGAGAACTTAGCAGCACCAAACCAGCCTTGCAACAAATACTAAAGAGACTTATATAGCCAGTAAACACAATAGAAAGGGAACATCTACAAAAACAAACCCAAAACAACCAAGAAAATGCCAATAGAAGCATATGTATCAATAATTACCTTAAATGTAAATGCATTAAATGCACCAACCAAAAGATACAGACTGACTGAATGGATAAAAAAACAAGACCCATTTACATGCCGCCTACAGGAGACCTGCTTCAGACCTAGAGACACATACAGACCGAAAGTAAAAGGATGGAAAAAGATATTCTATGTGAATGGAAACCAAAAGAAAGCTGGAGTGGCAATCCTTATTTCAGATAAAATAGACTTTAAAATAAAGAATATCATAAGAGACAAAGAAGGACACTATGTAATAATCAAGGGATCAATCCAAGAAGAAGATGTAACAATTGAGAATGCCTATACACCCAACATAGGAGCACCTCAATACATAAGGCAAACACTAACAGGCATAAGAGGAGGTATCGACAGCAATAGTAGGGGACTTTAACACCCCATTTTCACCAATGGGCAGATCATCAAAACAGAAAAGCAATAAGGAAACAAACATTAAATGAAACATTAGATCAAATGGGCCTAATTGATATCTTCAGGACTTTCCATCCAAATGCAGAAGTGCATATGGAATATTCTCCAGGATAGAGCACATCTTAGGTCACAAAACAAGCCTCAGTAAATTTAAGAAAATTGAAATTATATCAAGTATCTTCCCTGACCACAATGTTATGAGACTAGATATCAACTACAGGAGACATCCCTGGTGGCTCAGAGGATAAAGCATCTGCCTACAATGTGGGAGACCCAGGTTCAATCCCTGGGAGGAAGATGTGGAGAAGGAAATGGCAACCCACTCCAGTACTCTTGCCTGGAAAACCCCATGGACAGAGGAGCCTGGTAGGCTACAGTCCATGGGGTCGCAAAGAGTCGGACACGACTGAGCGACTTCTCTTTCATTTTCTTTCACATGGGGGGGTGGGGGGTGGACCAGCAAAAAAACACAAACTCATGGAGCTTAAACAATACATTACTAAATAACAAAGAGGTCACTGAAGAAATAAAAGAAATTAAAAGATTCTGAGAACAAATGACAATGAACATGACAATGAAAACATGATGACCCAAAACCTATAGGACTCCACAAAAGCAGTTCCAAGAGGGAGGTTTACAGTGATACAATCATACCTCAAGAAGCAAGAAAAGCATTGAATAGATAGTAACGCTACATCTAAATGGCAACCCACTCCAGTATTCTTGCCTGGAAAATCCCATGGATGGAGGAACCTGGTAGGCTACAGTCCCTGGGGTTACAAAGAGTTGGATACAACTGAGCAACTTCACTTTCACTTTCACTACACCTAAAGAAGATGGAAAAAGAAGAACAAAAAACCCCCAAAGTCAGCAGAAGGAACGAATTGAAAGATAAAAACCATATGATCATCTCAATAGATGTAGAAAAAGCCTTCAACAAAATCCAGCATCCATTTATGATAAAAACATCTCAAAAAATGAGCATAGAAGGAACCTACCTCAACATAGTAAAGGTCATATATGAAAAGCCCATAGTATACATTATTCTCAATGGTGAAAAACTAAAAGTTTTCTAAGACTTGGAACAAGACAAGGGTGTCCACTCTCACCACTATTATTCAACATGGTTTTGGAAGTCCTAGCTATGATAATTAAAGAAGAAAAAAAAATAAAAAGAATCCAGATTGGAAAAAAAGAAGTAAAACTCTCACAGTTTGCAAATGACATGAAACTATACATAGAAAATCCCAAACAAAGCTATTAAAAATTAATATGTAATGTCTGATTACATATTAATAGAAGAGGCCAATTATAGAGACAGACTAAATAAGTAGTTATCCATGCTTGGCAAGTGGGAAGGTGATTGGATGGGGACTGAGTCTTAATAGATATGGTATTTCTTTGGGGATGATAAAATGTTATTAAATT